TTTTTTTTTTTTTTTTTTTTTTTTTTTTTATACCGGTGATCGAACTCCGGTCCTTGTGCTTGTGAGGCAGGTGGTGGAACCACTGAGCTAAATCCCCGGCCCTATAACATAGTATTTGTATGTAACCTGAGCATATCCTCCTGTATACTTTATAAAATCATCTCTGAATTGCTTAAAATACTTTCTGCAGGGTAAACTGCAATGTAAATAAGTTGTACTGTATTGTTTAGGGAATAATGACAAGAAAATAGTCTGTCCATGTATGATACAGATGGAGTTTTTTTCTGAATTTTCTTGGATCTGCATGTAGAACCCATGGACTGTAGGCCAGCCTGGACTACATCGTGCATTCAAGGCCAACTTGAACTACATAGAGAGACCCTGTCTCAAAAAAGCAAAAAAATTGTCTTTATTAAACATTTTTAGACTGTCAATAATTGATTATGATTTGATTTGACATTTTATATTCAGTCCATTTGTATGATAAGAATAGACTTTTGAATACATAGTACAGTTTATTGGGACAAGGGAAAATAAATAAGAGTAATTGGTAGCTAGTTTGGTTTATAGTAGTATTTGAAGCACCCTGTTCTGTGTGACAATATTAAAGATAATCTGAACAAAGTATGCACCTGAAATTACAGGTATCGTCTGTTAAATTAGTACTGTGCAGCACCTTTATAACCATCCTTTAAATAGAGGTTATCAGGACAAAGTTAACAGTTGGAAGCATATGCCACCCTTAATACAGAAATTTTATTTTTTGTGTTTTTTTTTTTGTTTGTTTTTTGAGGCAGGGTCTGTCTTTGTAGTTCAGGCTGGCCCTGAACTCACTGTGTAGCCCAGGCTGGCCTTGAACTTGTGGAGACCCTCCCTCCTTAGTCTCCCAAGTGCTGGGATTACAAGTGTGCGCCATCACACCCAGCTCAATGTAGAAATTTTTTATGTGGTTTGGATATTATATCTTGATTTTTTTTTTGTCCGAGGAAGAAATTGTTTTACCTCTTCAAGTTCTGATTTAATGAAGACATTTATTAGGTCTGGATATTTAAACACTTCGTTGAGAATTTAAAATTTGTCTTTTAATTTGGACAAGTTGTCTGATTTTTAAAATAAAAAATAGCTTATGCAAAGTAGAAAATAATACATTTTAATTAGCAGAATGGATATTAGCCATATACATAAAATGACAAATTGTCTATGTATTATTCTGAGGTAAAAATAAATAAGATATCATTATCTTTTAAATTGTGTGGAGCTTCAGTATTACTTACTGATTAGTAAAATTAGGTGAGAGCCAAAAAGAAAATAATACTTTTTTTTTTCTAACATTTTCTTGTTGAGTGGTTATAATAGTGCACAGGTTCTTACTATTTATTGAATTCTCTTTTCTGTCATTCTAAAAAAGCAAATTTGCTCATATTTATGTTCCATTGTTAAGCCTTATTAAGTTTAAACTTTAAGGTGTATGTCTGTGAAGGTTCCCCCCCACCTTATTTTCTACATATAATACGCATTTGAGTGGGAAGGTGGGAAGAGGCCTAGTTCTTGCAAGTCTTGCTTCCATTATATTTGCAATTCTGAAGCCCATCTTTGAACAAAGATAATATTACAGGGTAATATTTTCAGAAGCACATTCTATTCTCTCTGTTCTATAGATATTTATTGACTGGAAAATATATTTGAAGGGGTTCTTACTGATTTTTTAAAACAGAGTCTTGCTCTGTAATTCACACTGGTCTTGAACTCACTATGTAGCCCATGCTGGCCTCAAATTTGTGGCAGTCCTCCTGCCTCAGCTTTCCAAGTGCTGGGATTATAGACTTGTGCCACCACACTCAGTTTAAACAAACAAACAATCAAACAAATTAATAAAATGCTTGAGACTGAACCCAGGGCCTCACACGTTAGACAAGTGCTGTACTACTGAGCTATACTCCCAGCCCTAAATTTGTTTTAATGCAATATTAATGGTGAATTTAGTGCATTTAAAATATATTAAATAATTTAGATGATAATTTAATTATTGTACTTATGGTCATTTGTAGGCGAAACCTAACCAAACTGTCCCTGATCTTCAGCCACATGCTGGCAGAGCTGAAAGGCATCTTTCCAAGTGGACTGTTTCAAGGAGACACATTTAGGATCACTAAAGCAGATGCTGCAGAATTTTGGAGAAAAGCTTTTGGAGAAAAGTGAGTCTCAAAGTGATAAATTTGAACTATGAAAAACTGAAGCTTATCTGAAGATTTTGTTTAGTGTTTTATTGATGAAATATTTAAAACAGAAAAACTTTGAAAAAAAACATTTATTCATTTCTTAGCTTTGGTAAATAATCAACATTCTTCTCCAATTATTTTTTTAAAGAAATAAAAGTTGTACAGATACAGTTGAAGCCCATGCATTTTGATTAAACATGCTTCCCTTTCTACATCCATTCTACTCTCAGTGGACATTGGCATTTCACGTTATTTGCTGTTGAAAACAGTGCTGTGATGAACAGTATCTTAGTTGTCTTCAGAAGTAAGGATTTCTCACTAGTTACATACTTAAGAGTAGAATTACTGAGTATTGCCTAATTGCTTTCCAAAGTGGTTGTACTGGTTTATATTCCAGTAAGTAGTAAGGAAGAATTTCAGGGCTGGAGGTGCAGCTCTGTGATAGAGGGCTTGTCTAGTATACACGAGGGCCTGGGTTCAATCGCCATCAACCACAAAAATAAATAAATAAAAATCATTTTATACTTAAGTTATAGACTAATTCATAATTTTGAAAGCCTGGTTGAGGGGTTGAGGCTGTAACTTGGTGGTAGAGTATATACTTAGGGTTATGCATTTAGCCCCCAGCACCCACTCTACCCCAAAGCCTAGTTGAAGATAGGAATGAATTTAGCTTTGTTCTTTTAACTCTGTAGCTACATTGGAAAATACTTCAAGACATAATTTGGTCTCATTTTCAGGCAGATGAATACATAAATTTTCTTAAGGCAGTGAAACTTTATTTATTTTAAAAATCTTGAGAAATATGAATTCCATATCTCTTCCTGACTCTTTCTGGGGTTTAATCAACCTTAGATTAAATAATTTCTTCTTTATCTTTTTCAAAACTCTATTCATTGAGTATTTTTGAGCCTATTTCCCCCTGTCTACCTTGATTGTGTAGGTTCCTCAAAGAACACAGAATGTTTTACATGCTTCTAAAAAGTTAGTTTAGGGCCAGGGATTTAGCTCAGTGGTTCTGCTTTCTTCCTCGCAAGCACAAGGACCCAAGTTTGATCCCTGGTACACACACAAAAAAAGAGTTAGTTTAAATACAGGCTTTTAGATAGTAAAGGTCTGGCTACAGTTTACATTTATTGTATTAAAAGGATAACCTCATCTCTCTTTGTATGCTTTTCTAATAGAATAAATGTCCATAGAAAGAAAAGATGATTAATTTGTGCCATTCTGCCAAAGGACAGTGGGAAAAGACTTGCTATTAATTTACTTGTTAGAAAGTCTAAAAAATATATCCCTGATTCCCTTCTGTCTATTTTCAGCATAAATATAACACAATTTCTTTACAAGAATTTATGACTGATATTGAGAACTTAATGTGATTGGCTGGTTCTGCCTCTCTCCCTCCCTCCATCCATCTACCCCTCCCTCTCTCCCTTCGTCCCTCAGACAGATCTTGCTATGTAGTCCAGGCTGACTTTGAGCTCACTATGTAGCCCAGGCTGGCCTGAAACTCACAGCAATCCTCCTGCCTCAGCCTCCCGAATGCTGGGATTACAGGTGTGCTTCACTACACCCGGCCTCTCATTTTTTGAGACAGGGTCATGCTAAGTTCCTAAATTGCCCACTTGGTCTTGAACTTCTGAACTCAGTCTCCTAGTGCTGGGATTGTAATTGTGAACCATCACACTCAGTTGGCTGCTTTCTTCTTAATGATAGCAGTGCCTGAAATTATCTCTATTATCTCAGTTTGTGCCTGTTTCACCCCACTGCAGGACGATAGTCCCTTGGAAGAGCTTTCGACAGGCCCTACATGAAGTGCATCCTATCAGTTCTGGGCTGGAGGCTATGGCTCTGAAATCTACCATTGATCTGACCTGTAATGATTATATTTCAGTTTTTGAATTTGACATCTTTACACGACTCTTTCAGGTAAGATATCAAATATGTTGGCCATCCTGGCTACTGTTTCTTTTCTGAAAGCTTTTTGAACAACCTAAAATTTGAGGCTTGTCTATTATAAAAGCATTTTAATAAATTTTAAAAAGTATTCACAAAAAGAAAACCTTAAAACTACTCTGTATTATATGCATGAAATAATTATACAGTCTTCTTATTGATTAGTCTTCTTGGCATTATTTTAATGGTTATAGAAGTACTAGAAAATGGAATATATGTTAAAAATTTTTTTTGGCAATAATTGGGATTGAATTTAGGCACACATGCTAGGCAAGCACTCTACTACTGAGCTACATCCCCAGGTACCTCACCCCCGACCTTTCACCTTTTTAAAGTTTTATTTTAAGATAATGTCTCTGAATTGTCCAGGCTGGCCTTGAACTTGTAGGTGCTGGTGGTGTGTGCCACCTGGCCCAGCTGATTATAATATGTTTTACCTGTTTTCTAATACTGGACTCTAGTATATAGTTCTGTTTTTTTCTTCTTGCTGTGAGATTCTTGACTGTTAATATAAAGACATGCTGGGCTGGGGATTTAGCTCAGCAGTTTGGTGGCCTGCCTCTCAAGCTCAAGGACCCGAGTTCAATCCCTGGTACCAAAAGAAAAAAAAAACAAAACAAAACATGTTGATGTTTCAAAAAGAATTCATTTCTTTCAGTGTTATCTCTGGTGGATATGTGCTAATTTACATAAATATTTATTTGGAATTCATTAATTTCACACATGGGCCCTATTCTGTTTTCTGATTTTTGTTTGTTATTGTTTTAACCTCACTACTGGTTAAAGCTACTTTACAATTTCTTGAGTACAATTTCTTTAATTTCATTTTGTTAAGTTTCTTCCTATTGTATATATCCTTTTTGTCTTTTCATCTTCCAAATATACTTACATTTTCCTAGAGTAACAATATAACTGAGAATTTGTGACAGTCAGTTAAGAATTTATCATGATAACTGAAGTTTTTCCTCTTGTCTTTTCTTTACTCTAAGTCTGGTTGTATGTCTTGGGCCAGATAGTCTGTGATTGATCTCTTGTTTCTTTAGCCTTGGTCCTCTTTGCTCAGGAATTGGAACAGCCTTGCTGTAACACATCCTGGTTACATGGCTTTTCTGACATATGATGAAGTGAAAGCTCGGCTCCAAAAATTCATTCACAAACCTGGCAGGTCAGTGCCATAAACCAAAGAGGTTTACTCTTTTTCTGATTTCTGCTGGATAGAAGATAAATGGCCTTGTATAGTTCCTCATTGGCCAGGATTCTTTAATAGGATTGATGTCTGTATAACAGAGGGATTGAGTTATTAAAATCCTATGATTTGCTAAATGATTTGAAAAAAGAATAGAGTTTAGGTGTTCTTTACTTCTGGTCTGGAGTCATTAAAGAAGTTACTCTTCTTTTTCCATGTTCCTTTTTTGGAGCTGGGAATTGAACCCAGAGCCTTAGACATGCTAAGGAAGAACTTTTCCATTAAGCTACCCTCCAGGCCCTGAAGAAGTTATCCTTAATGGCTCCTTTGATTTTTGTCTCTGTCTTACCTTCTGCCTTAATACCAGTACGTATATTAAAACCTTTGCTCATCTTTGTTCTCAGTTACATCTTCCGGCTGAGCTGTACTCGTCTGGGTCAGTGGGCTATTGGGTATGTTACTGCTGATGGGAACATTCTGCAGACAATCCCTCACAATAAACCTCTCTTCCAAGCACTGATTGATGGCTTCAGGGAAGGCTTGTGAGTACTCACTGTTACCATCTGCTACAGTCTAGGAATTTAAAGAGTCTGTAACATTGCATCATTAATAACTTTATTCCAAGTTTCTTATACAGATTAAGATTCAGAAACGTATTAACGTTATATTTATTTGACCTTCAGATTCTATAGGACTTTTGTATGCACGTATTTATTTATTTTTGAGATAGGGTCTTGCTATACACTTCAGGCTGCCCTTGAATTCGAAGTGATCCTCCTGCCTCAGCCTCCCAAGTGCTAGTATTACAAGTGTGCACCACAACCCCCGGCTACTTACAGGAATTCTGTAAATGAACTTTTTTTTTCTCTGCTGCTTTGGTTATTACCATGAATACATTTTATCTTTTTTCTAAATACTAACTTATTTTCAAGTCTATAAAAGAAGTATAATTATAGAATTAGCATGAAACTGCCAGCTATTTTACTAGCCAAAATTTAGATGTTCATAATGACAGTGGCCTCAGTGATTTTCATTTCCTTCACCCTGACTTCATTTTGTCAGCAGCTTTTCCTCAGGCTTTTGGCCTTTTTGTGTGTGTGTGCTGGAGATTGAACTTGGGACCTTGTGCTTGCGAGGCAGGTGGTGGCAACACTGAGCTAAATCCCTGGCCCTTGGCATTTTGTTGGGGGGGGGCAGTAACGGGATTGAACTCAGGGCCTTGCCACTGGCCTATTGGCTTTTGCATTGTATGCTAATATTTATGACTGAGTTCTTACTTATTACAGAATCTCTATTCCTTAGGGAATTAATCAATTGATCAAGTTATTATTAAGTACTAAAGATACTGTTGACCAGGTCTCAGAAAACTAGCATGTTTTAAAATGATAAGGAAAATCCATTTTCCCTTATGCAGCATCTTCTACAGTAGAATTGAAAGAAATACTGACCCAGATGTCAGAACATTTTGGTGCTAAAAACTCCCTGGTAGATGATCTCAGTGGTTTAATTTGCTTCTTGGTACATTACCACTAAGTGGGTATCTCTAGCAAATGCAGTTTAAATTAAAAATTTATGTCTGTGGTCATCTGTTGATTAAAATAGCTTTGGCAAATTATGGCCCATGGTCCAGATGTTTTGGTACAGCCTACAAGCTAAGATAATTATTTCTTTTTAAAATACTGTTTGAAAGTCAAAAAGACAAAGATATAAACTTATGTGACCTACAAAGCCTGATCTATTTAATATGGTCTTTTGTAGAAGGGGGTTTCCAGTCCCTCAGTTGGAAAATAAGGCTATCACACTGCACCCTGCAGAATATCTTCTTGGAAATGTGTGTTACTCATTTTTCTGAAGTTTTTCAGACTTAGCTTTATACTTACACAACATTGTCCTTTTAGAAGAGGAGAATTGCTGGATATCATCTGTCTGTATTAACAAGCACTGTAAATTGGCTTTAGTAAGACCTCATAGTTGGTTACTCATTTTATAGTTATTTATTTCCTGATGGACGAAATCAGAATCCTGATCTGACAGGCCTGTGTGAACCAACCCCCCAAGACCACATCAAAGTGACCCAGGTAAGTTTTGTTTTATATTATACCCATATCACTGGTTCCAAGCTTTTGGATGTACTTTATAGAATTGAAAGTATAATTTAAGTGATTAGAACACTTAATTTTAAACCATTGACTACATGAGTGAATTTGAATATGTGCAGTTTTTCTTTAAATTATGCAGCTTAAAATAGGACCAAAACTAAATGCTTTCTGGTTTAATGAGAGAACATTGACCACTCCTGTTGCATTTTTATTTAAGCAAAACTTGTATAAAAAGTAACAGCCTTCAATTTTCTTATAGTATTTACAGTTATAGCCATTCGTTCAACAGCCTTTTAATATATATATTTTTTTTGTCATCAAAGGAACAATACGAATTGTACTGTGAGATGGGATCCACATTCCAACTGTGTAAAATATGTGCTGAAAATGATAAGGATGTAAAGATTGAGCCCTGTGGACATCTCATGTGCACATCCTGTCTAACATCCTGGCAGGTATGAATCCAAGCCATACATTTTCTCAGCTGTGTTATCTCTGAAGAATTATTATATATCCTTTACAGATATAAAAGGTGGCCTGGTTTGTGAGGGAGGTTAAAATTTTTAATTTCTCTTTCTCTCTCTCTTTTTTTTTTTGACACTGGGAATTGAATCTATTACTTCCTACATTCTAAGCATGTGCTCTGCCACTGAGCTGGAAGCCTTTAATTTCATTTTTATCTCTAGGAAATGTACTTAATGTTTTAAGTACTTTCAGATGCATATGTTACTAATTTCTCCTTCCTCTGCAGGAATCAGAAGGTCAAGGATGTCCTTTCTGCCGATGTGAAATCAAAGGTACAGAGCCCATCGTGGTAGATCCATTTGACCCCCGAGGAAGTGGCAGCTTATTGAGGCAAGGAGCAGAGGGAGCTCCCTCACCAAATTATGATGATGACGATGATGAACGAGCTGATGATTCTCTCTTCATGATGAAGGAATTGGCTGGTGCCAAGGTAAGATCACAGTGTAGAATGGCAAAATCTATGATTAGTGTTCTAAACCCATGGAGCACTTAATGACATCCAGACTACAAATGCAATAATAATTTATTGATAAAGCATTTGCTGTAAGACAGATACTGCACTAAACACATTACTTATAATGCATATAATCTTTATCTTTACAACCCTTTGAGTAGGTACTATCATCATCATATTGTTGTTGTTGTTGTTATTATTATTTTGGTACTGAGAGTGAAGAGTGAACCAAGGGATGCTCTACTACTGAGCTACATCTCCAGCACTGCCCTCCCCACCTTAACATTTAAGACAGTGAACTTATCCAGGCTGGCCTCAAATTTGGGGTCCTCTTGCCTCAGCCTCCAGAGTAGTTGGGTTTGCAGATGTACACTGCTGCATCCAGCTTATCCTCATTTAACAAATGAAGAAACCAAGCCACAAACAGGCATAGTAATCTTTGCTGCTCTGGAGGATGAGACAGGAATGCAAGTTTAAGACCAGCCTGGGCAACTTCTTGAGACCCTATCTTAAAATAATTTTTTTTTTTTAAGGCTGGGGTTGTGCTTATTAGTAGAGTACTTGCCTAACATGCATGAAGTCCTGGGTTCAATTCCCAGTAACACAGGTGCATGCACATGTGTACACACACACAGAGAGAGGGAGGGAGGGAAGGAGAAAGAGAGGAGAAACTAAATAGTAAGAAAGACCTTATTAAAGATAGAAGAGGTGAAAGATGATAGCAAAAAAAGAATGTGACAAGATGCTGTTGTATCAAAGGGAGTTTTATCTCACTTTACTTCAGCTTTCATTATCATCTCTTCTCCCTGTTACAGGGTCATTGATCTGTGACATGGATCTGATTACCTCATTCCTTTGCTTCCCACATTATAATGACCTCATATTTATTTAGGTTGTTGTTGCTGCTGCTTTTTGTACCAGGGATTGAACTTGGGACCTTGTGCTTGCAAGGAAGGTGGTGGCACCACTGAGCGAAATCCCCAGCTTAACCTCATATTTCTTAACAAGTTAGATTTGTTCTTTCCAGGCACCTTGCCTGATAAGTTCCTTTGCATTTTATACTTTTTGATCCAGTAACTACTTAGAATTTCTCCTTATCTGGGAGTTTCTGTGTAATTTAGCTCAGTCTCACCTTTTCAGACTGCACCTAGTCTCCCCACTCACAGTTCACATGCATTGACACACATGTAGCCTAGGACTGTCTGAATGTTACTGGGACCCTATGAGCATGTCTGCCATAGAACCTAACACTCTTTAGGGCTTGGGATGTAACTTTGTGGTAGAGTCCTTACCTAATATACACAAGGCCCTGGATCCAGTCTCCAGTACTGCAGTAAGAATTTAGACCATAAAATATTTTCTTAAAAGTATTTCCCAGGTCTGAGGCTCCATGGTTCTGCTGCCTGCCTCGCAAGTGCAAGGGCCCAAGTTCGATCTCCAGTAAAAAAAAAAAAAAAAGAAAAAAAATTAAAAGTATTTCCCATTGTAAGATTTAGAAAAGCCATATCTTGTTTGTAACTAGCTACTCAAAGTTGAACACATAATAAAGTTACTTTCAGTGTTTATCAGTGAAACACTTCCAAGCAGAATTTGATAAATTTATCAGTGCTAGATTAGTAAGGAGTAGTTGAGGAAAGCTGGACCGCTTGAATGGTACATTCTTGGCCTGGGTGTGTTGAGAATAAGGTCTTGTAACCCAGGCTGGTTTCAAACCTGGGATCGCCTTGCCTTAGCCTCCCTAGCTGTGGGATTTCAGGCGTGTGCCATGAGCCTGGCTTGTTCTTGGTATTTTGAAGATGACAAGAGTTAGTCTTGGCCCCTCATAACAGGTTCAGCAACAGCATTTTAAGAAATTCGTTTTTTTCCTAAAGCATTTTCATATTTTATATAATTACTATCTGCTCATTCATTAAAAGTTCATTGGCAACTCCTAAAATATTAGGGAAGATGAATAGTAAGCTAAATAGAGGTAATCATACATGTGTGTCTTTGAAATTCAAATGTCCTTTTTTTCTTTATGAAATTTTATAGACGGGTAACACTCATGGAGAAGTATGCTCTCAGTGTTGATGTGGGCATATGTTAGTTTCATCATTATGGGGTAGAGTTTAACATCTCAAACTGTGTGATGTTTATTTTGAATTAGCAAATCCATTTCTAGGAATTTATCCTAAAATATATACAAATGTATGAGGGTATAAATATAGTTATTCTTACATCATTATTTGTAATTTTAAAAATGAGGAAAAGCCCACATGTCCAGTAAAAAATCGTTACAGCCATGTGTTGGTGTTCTATTGCTTCCATAACAAATCCCCATAAAAGTAGCAGCTTTATACAGCACATATTATTATTTGATGGTTCTACAGGCCAGTTAAAAATCCAGAACATGTCTCACTAGGCTAAAAATCCACGTTTTAGCTGTCCTGCATTCTTCAGTTCCTGGGTATGTCCGGTTCCTCACTCATTTGGGTTTGGTAGGATGTAGTTCTTTGCAATTGTAGATTAAAAACCCAGCTTCTTGCTGGTTTTCAGCTGGTGACTCCTCAGCCTTATTATTTGGCTTTTGGTCTCTTCCTCTTTTTTCAGTCTTATTTGTTTGAGGTTCTCTGCTTTAAAGGCTTCTATGATTAGATTGTCTCACCTGTGTCATCTGGGATAATTCTCCCATCTTGAGATGCAGATCCTTAATTTTGCCAAATAAGGGTTATATATATATTCAAGGTTCTAGGGACTAGGGTGTGCACATTTTTGGGGGACCACTATTCTGCCTGCCACATTAGATGTTCTTCAGAATGAGTTAAGTTTAGATTTACTTAATGGGAAAACTGGTTAATGTGTATCAAAGTTAAAAGTCAACCACGTAGTTGGGTGTGTTGGCACAGATCTGTAATCTTAGCACTTTCTGGAGGCCAAGGCAGGAGGATAGCAAGTTCCAGACCAGCCTGGGTAATTTAGCAACTTAATGCGACTTTATCTCAATATAAAAAAGAGTTGGAGATGTATGAAGCTCAGTGGGAGGCCCTAGATTTAGTACCCACAGTGCCCCCGCCATGCTATAACATGACCTCATTTCTGTTAAAAAAAAATTGCTTATAATTGCATGCCTATAATCCCAGCTGCCTTGGGGTGGAGTCAGAAGGATCACAAGTTCAAGGCCAACCTGGGCAATTTAGGTAGTCTTTGTCTAAAATGAAAGAGGTGGGAATATAGCTAGCCTGCTGGTAGAGCATCCCTGGGTTTGATTGCTGTGGATGACTGTGTTACTTTTCTCATGTTGCTGGGAGAGAATACCCAATACCCCAAGTTAAAAGGGAAGGGCTTTATTTGGCTTATAGTTCATAGAAGCTTTAGTGCATAATCAGCCAACTCCAAAGCAGGGAGACAGGCATGGCAGAACAGAACCAACAGGACTGCACACAAGGCAGCAAAGGTAACAAGGGAGTTTAACAGCATCTTTCTGTCCCTTTTATCTTATTCAGGATTAGGGCAGTGCCAAACTAATCATGTGTAGTGGTTTACTAATTATTCACCCTTAAGCCTAGCATCACACATTCCAGATTTAACTACCTCTGAAAAAGAAAGTCCCACTTCATCTGCATGAGGTTTTAGGGGGACATCTAAACATAAACCATAAAAATGACTAAACACTAAATTATATTTCTGAAGACAGAAGTGCAGAAATTCAGTTTTGTATAATACAGCTGTAGAGTTTTCTACAGTTAAATGTTACTTTTGCAAGGCAGTTTATTGCTTAGCTAAATAGCTCAGTGTGGAGTGCTGAGTGGTACCATAAGTCTCAGTCAAGGATCTCAAGGGAATGCGAATAAAGATGCAAGAGAGACACTTCAACAGAGGGGAGATAATGAACATTGTTCAAAATTGTTGGATTATAAGGTGGATCTGGTGGTGCGCACCTGTAGTCTCAGTACTTGGAGGCTAAGGCCGGAGGATTGCTCCTAGTTCAAGGCCAATGTTGGTTGTATGAGTTCAGGGTCAACCTAAACTACGTAGTGAGACCCTGTCTCCAAAAGGAAAAAAAAAATCATTGGGTCATATACTTTTTTTGTTTGTTTGTTTTTTGAGACAGGGTTTCACTATGTAGTTGAGACTGACCTGAAACTCACTATGTAACCCAGACTCGTCTCAAACTCACTGCGATCCTCCTGCCTCAGTCTCCTGAGTGCTGGGATTACAGGGGTGCGCCACTATACCCAGCTTCATACTCTCTTAGTAGTATAAGCATTTTTTTGTTTTCTGTGCATTAATTTTATTGATACATTTTAGAAATATATAACAATCCTATTCATCATAGGGAATTTGTACATTATATATATTTTTTTGAGCGGGGGTACCGGGGATCACACTCAGGACCTTGCATTTGTGAAGCAGGTGGTAGAACCACTGAGCTAAATCCCTGTCCCTTGTATATAGTATATCTTAATTCTTTTTTTACCCACCCACTTCCGTCTCTTCAACTCCCCTTCCCCTCCATATTTACAAAAGCTTTGTTTCCATTTTTTTTCCTTCTGTGCTTTTTTTTTTTTTTCTGTTCCCTTCTTTCTTTCTCCTTCTCACCTCCTTTGTTCCCCTTGCAGTATAGGTATTTAGAGGAAAATGAACACTATCCCCCTAGCTGTATAGAAACTCACATACAGGACGCTGTGTTTCTCTATTTATCATTAGTTGATTATTCTGTAATTTATTTAGACTCTCCTTAAAGAACATACTATTTCTAGGTGTATGCTTATTAGCACATTTTGCAAGTTTGTCTTTAGGGTAAACTTCAACAGTACAGCTTCCAGAGAAGAGTGTATTTAGAACTGGGGCTGTAGTTCAGCGCTGGAGCACTTGCCTAGCATAATTGAGACCTTGGGTTCAGTTCCCAGTACTGTGCAAAAGAAAAAGAAAGAAAGAAAAGAAAAAAAGAATATGTGTATTTAAAAACCCTAGTAAAGAAGAGATAAAATTAAGAAAGAGACATATGGGAACTTCACAGAGACAGTGGTATTTCATTCTTAACTAGATAGTAGATATATGGGTATGTGTTTTATTATTCTTTGTGTATATGCTTTGTATGAATAAAATGTTTGAGTAAAAATAATTAATGTTTTGGATAGCTATGAAAATTTGTCCTGACTTTTTTGTCATAAAATCACTCCAGAAGGCATATGAAAACAAGAGTGCCTATTTCTTCTTATATTGGTAGCTGTTGTTATTTATCTTATTTTGATTTTTTATAGTTAATTATTGATTAATGAATCTAGTTTTTTAAAAAATCTACATGATAAATGCACATGGATTTTTAAATTTTATTTTATTTGCGGGGGTACTGGGGATGCAAGGACCTTGCAAGGCAGATGCAGTGCCACTGAGCTAAATCCCTGGCTTGCACATAGATTTTTAAAAATGTGTAACAGAATTGCTAGAAGGCTTATAGAAACAGATTCTTTGCCTTTACCCATGCTCAGTCCCTTCTGTACACCTCCATTCAGATTTTTCAGTTCCTGCTTCTACATTTTTAAATTTTGTACCTATAACTTTTTCTTGGTTAATTATTTGTTCATCTCATACAGTGTAGAGGAATAGATTTATATTTCATATCTTCTCCCTCCTTTCTACTCTATAGCTTTCTATTATGAACTTATTTTTTGTCTAAATTAATATTCAGTGCCTGAAATGATTTTGCTCCTTACTGTGCCAACTAATATGCTATAATGTAATTACTTTATGACTTAGATAACTTTTTGCTTTTTCTGAGACAGTTTTTATTTCCCAGGTTTTCAGTCTGTACCTTTCACTGGCAAGTTGTGCCATTTCGCAGTAGACTCATGTGTGTAGTAAACTTTACTTTTGTTTTGTTTTGTTTTTTGGTACCTGGGATTGAACTTGGGACCTTGAGGTAGGCTGCGGAACCACTGAGCTAAGTCATCAGCCCACAGTAAGCTTTATTAATTCACTATATTAGTATAATAGGTAGTGTGTAGTAAGGTACAGCTTCTGATCCATAGGGGTGGCAGGATCCCCCTCCTGTTGGAACTCGTTATTTTCTGCATGTGCTGTGTTCTGTTCCCTGAGTTGGCCCTTTCATCTCTGTGGACATCATTGCTTTCTTCTGTTATGGTGCCTGTTTCTTGCTACTATGCTTTGTTTTATTTAGTTAGTGGCATTTTTATTAATTAAAAAACTTTTCATTATCATCTGAGACACAAAGGAAACCAGTACCAAAACTGGGTTACAATAAGCACAGGTTCTGGGCTGATTTTTGGGTTTTTTTGTTGGTTTGTGTTTTGTTTTTTGAGACAGGGTCTCACTAAGTAGTTGAGACTGACCTGGAACTCACTCTGTAGCCCAGGTTGGTCTCGAACTCACAGCGATCCTCCTGCCTCAGCCTCCCGAATGCTGGGATTACAGGTGAGTGCCACCACGCCTGGCTCTGGGTTGATTAATTCTCTCTCTCATTCACCTAGTCAGTTATTTCTACTCTGGATTGGCAAAGTCCTGGGCAAGGTTTGGAGGATCAGATAGATGACACAGGCTGGTTCTCTGTGGAGTTCACTGTCCAGTGTGGGGAACACACACAGTTTATCACAGAATGGGGAGAGCTACCAGGGGGAAGCACAAAGAGGGCAATGTTATTTCCTTGTTTGAATAGAGTCTGCAAAACAGATTTCTGTGAAAAGGTGAGCAGTAAACCTTTTGGGATCTTTGATAACTTCAAATGCCTTTATTCTTTTTTTTTTTTTTTTTTTTT